GATACCTCTACATAAATTTTCCCTCTACCTCTATAATGTCTTCTGTGCTTATGTTGAACAATAACATTCAACAATAAAGTCATCCCACCAACACCTTCGTAATTTCACTTATCAAGATTTTAAATTGATTTGATGGGCTACATTTAGTACTAACCAATATATATTCATCATGATAATCAAGATACTGTCAAAATTTACTCGATTTTTAATTGTTATACGTCAATACCCGTATGGCATATCAATGGCGCTAAAAGGATAAAGATCGACTTAATTCAAGACGACTATACCTAACGTGCTTAGTCTATGTTGAATTATAATGAACAGCAAACAAAGTTATCCTATCAATGCCTTCACAGTTTCATTAATCAAGATTTTTAAAATGATTTGATAAGCTGCAACTAATACCAAGCAATATTTATTGCAATGAACTTATCCAATGGATGTCAAAGTCCACTAAGTTATTATCGGGCTTGTTGATATTGACTCCCTTCAGATTCTTATTTTAGCCACCATCAACACCTAATTTCTGATATTTGAAACACCACAAGCAATTTCAGTCTATCGTACGCATATATATGTCTTACATGATAGTCATACTTTATTAATATCACACCTAAGTTAAAGCTAAAGGTTACGATATGATATGCGACATAAACAGAGATCAAAGATAATCTTACTGTATGTTATGTAATTTTATCAACTCTAGTCATAACAAGTTGTGAGTAAATAGTCATCATTTTATGTGCACTTTAAATTAGCTACGGTTAATGATGCCAATTTAATGAATCTTAATACATGTAGTGCAATATAATGTAGCATAACTTCCCTTGCAATTTATGCATATTGACTACAGTATTATACCATATATACAGTAAAATATGTTAAAAAGAAGTAAATATCATAAAACACTTGTAATTTGTAAACATCTTGATCTAGTTCTAGATCGTTTCTGAATGACACCGGCTAGATTGGTCCGTGAATTCGGACGATAAAAAAATGTCATAATGTTATAATTTCTTTTGAAATGCACTATAGTCAGGAATAATTTACGATAGAATTAATAATTCATATTAACCACGATTTTCGTAAATACATTTGAAACAAATCCCTATACATAAAATGCGAATTTCTACGGGCAATCTCGAATTATTACCAGCTGATGATACACTAGATTACTGCGTTAAATTATAAATAAATTAGTGTAATAAAATAACTTAGTAGGATACAGGCTGATTTTCTACATCATGGCCGAAAAGCATTTATCATTTTTAAACGTTGAAAGAAGTTACTTGTAGTTAATATATGAATGACAGGGCAACATAGACATGCAATATCATTAAATTACTTGTTCTGTTTAATTTAATTTTCTCAAAAGTTCAATATATGAAAGTGCAGTAAAAGGAGAATTGAAACCATTAAATTTAATTTAAACTTGTACCATTCCGTACAGTAGTAAATGAGCTTATAGGAGGAGAACGGCTTGTGGGAGATACTTGCTTCTTACTTCTAACCGATCTTTGAAACTGAAAACTCTCCTTACAAACATGTTTAACAAAGGTTTTTCTAATTTCCGGGTTTAAGTAGCCATACATGACTGGATTGATAAACATATACGAAAAAGAAAGATAACGTAGCCCTTTCATGTGATCAGTTAAGTCTAATGGTATTCGAAAGAAATGGACAAAAAAGAAGATATGATAGGGTAAACACATAACAGTAAAAGCACATACAACTACAGCCATATAACGAGCAGCTCGAACATTTCTTACTAGCGTACGCTTAGACACATTTTGACGGCCAATATTAAATTTTCTAATATGCCTGTTAGCAATAATGAAGATATGACCATAGACAATCAGCATTGATACTAAAGGTAAAAAGAATACTACACAATAAATGACTAAATAGTAAGCTAGCTCTGACTCCTCTTTAAATATATTACGTACAACACATAAACCTTTTAGAAAATAACGATGTGACCAAAATGGAGCTGCAGCTGCAATTAAAGCGATTAACCATGATATTGAGATAGCAATTACTGATGATCTAATAGTTATATCTTCAATATAACGAAATGGGAAAAGGATAGCATAATATTTTTCATAGCTTATTAAACACAAATGAAGACATACTGCTACATCGAACAATACGTAAAATTGCGGCAACAATGTACAAAAAATTGAATTATTAAAGCGAACATCTTTTCGAACAAATCGTGGAATAAGATATAATGACGCCCAAAGTATTGCTGCAGTGGACATGCTTATAATTATGACGTTAGTAGCTTTCCATAGATTTCGATGAAACAAAATAACGCATAACAAAATTGCATTATTAACAATTGTTAATATGGCAACAACTAAAAGAATATATTGTTCTTCATCCCATGTATAAGGTTGTTTAACTGGCGGAGTCCTACTGTTTATCGTTGCATTGATTGAAGCACTAGAAATCATCGTCGATTTTAAGAGGAACTATCGTTGTTAATGGATAGATTAGATATTTTGCTATAAATCTACAGTTAAAAAAAGGCAGAAATACAGGAAATAATTAAAATGCTAATTTAATAATCGATTTAACAGAGCTTACATTATGAAATAGTAATACGAAAAGCATACAGTAAACATCCATAGGATATAAATGAAATTAGAGAAGTATTCGCGTTGGTATGGTATGCATGATATAACGAAATTTTATTTTACTTTAACAAGGCATTACGTCTTTATGGTGGTAAGATGTCGGTAATAAAGTAGAAATCAATCAATATAGCTACCGCTGTGGAAGTTAAATCAACATTACACTAATTTCTTCATTTTTAATTTGATAAGGCAACAACGGTAAGCTAGTCATGCGAACGAAGAAATCAATAAAATTATCGTACCTTCTCGAAATAAACCAACTGTAAGTTACCGCTGATCAACCTAGGAAGTCATAAGAAAGTGTTAACCGTCTATATAAATAAAACATCTATCTACTATTCTTGTATTCTTACAACTAGTATCAACCAAATTTAAATAGTTATTGCATGCACAAGGTTTATAAAGTTTAATTCATGACGAAAGGCAATCAAAGATAACGTGCTTACTTGTAACACTCACACTTCAATTTTAATTCCTCATCAAACGAGACGCCATTGCTGCAACAGTGCGGATCCGATACCTTTGTAAATGAATAAATCTCAATTTGTAATCTGTCAGAGAATTGCAAGACAGACTAAATTAGAGATAATTTCAAAGAATAAAATTTCAAAAGACACTATTAATCTCAACTTTTTATATACGGAAAATTATAGTTACTGATTACTCTCTATTACTGCCTGTAACACATTAGATCATGTTGCCACCAGGTGTCTACGTTTCATCAAATCACAAATAATAATGCTGTATTTGCTACTATGTGAAATGCCCTTGCTACCTTGATCGCTGTAACAATATATAAGAAATATATGTTATATAGACCATGTATGAATACGTCTGGTCATAGCATTCATAAGTACAAGGTCCTTTCGAAGAACAGCAGGTGTTCTTAAATATCGATCAATTACCTTCTTCCGTAGTAATTATCATATTATTATTCCCTTATTTTTAAACTTGTTTTTGAATTTGATCATTTTCTAGATATAACATATTAATCTCACATATAAAATAGAACTTAGAATTGATATGGTATAAAAAGAAAAATTACATTAAGACTAGACATAATTAAATTTTAAATCTGAAAAAAGTCAAAATATCTGTTGTGTTTAATCATTTACGTGTGATATTGGAATCTACTGTATAATAATAAAATATAGATAGAAAGCATTAATGTATTTGCGTCACAGAATGAAAAAGCAATTGTAACGCCACCTGTATATTTCTTACATACTGTACTAGGCAATAAATAGTTTTTCTGTTATAAATCATTTAGATTAGGTTGATCTCTAATATAAATAATAGATTAAAATATTAATATGATATTATAGCATGTCAATAGCTTATGAACAAAGAGTTGGCCTTAAACTCCCTATAATTCTGCTCCAGACATAATCTAAGGTCATTCAAAAAGCAGATCAGAAGTGTTTAATTTACTATAGATAAAGCTATACGAAGTACTTTTGAACTTTCCAATTAGTAGCGTTTGTTATGGAAGGAATTACTTTTAAGCTTATAAAAAGCATAAGTAAAAATAAATTATCAGCTAATGTACCTAAAGTAATTACTTTATCAGCGTTATGGAAATATGCTGACGTTTCAGATAGACAATTTCTACGTGCTAAAATTAGATAATCATGCGCTATAATCAATTAAATAAAACATTTTATAGCGACTTTTATTAGACGAATTTTATATAGTACGCTAGTTTTGAGATGATATCGCTGCGAAACGTATTATTTTAAAAAAAGACTACCAATAATTAAAAAAAATCGGAGACCATAGTGTTAAATTATCAGAATCGTGATGAAGGTTAGGTTATGGAAAGGATTTAAATAGAGCTGAAAATAATTCAGTTTATTCTATCGTTATGCCTGTTTCCAATACGGCTTAGAGCTATTACGTATCAGCAAGATTAGCATAAATATTAATAAGCTAATACCGTTAAATTTTATTTTCAGAATTTGTCATATTTTATAATATTTCATTAGAATTCTAAAGGTTTGATCATTATTTTACGATAATCAGCGACTTTATTTAGAGGTAGACAATTATTATCAAAAAGCGAAACTGAATCTAAAATGTACCCTTTATCTAAATTTTTCATTATCTATTAAAGATATTGCTGTAAAATTAAGAATAATAATGGTTTTATTGATCACTGCTTTCTTACAGTAACTAAATATTACCTTAGCAACAGCCAACTCTTCAATTCATGCTAATCCGGTAACATTTGAAATATGATAACCTTTACCCATGAAATATTAAATGCTAGCTATTTTAATACTATCTTTTCAATTGATTACCTAAAATGTCGGAAAATCAATCCTATTTCAAATAGAATGAAAGAAGCTATCTGATATTTTAATATGACTGTTACACTTTCTAGTTTATCGTAACAATAATTTAATAGTCCAGTAGGGCTTGAGTACTGAACAATCACGAGTCCAATAGAGCTTAAGTACCGAACTAACTTTATTATGCGTTAGGAGCCGTTATATATAAGAGACAATTACCAGTAATGTGCAATAACGGACATACCATGAATGTTAACGACAATCTTATCTTATTCATAATAAGATAACAACTTATTTTCTTAGATATGCTATCTAGGACTTAATCGTCATCATTACAGAACAACTGCAGAAATATACTGAATAAACAGGCTTCTTCAATATGATAGATCTTATCGATACTATGTCTACAACAACTGTATTATTTCGTAACAATGACATAATATTACGCTAGCACGATACAATTCAATAAAATTTTGAAACCAACGTACAATTAATTAGAGTTATTAATTTGCCTGCTATTAATTATTTCAAAGAGTATAGGCGTATTGTGAAATTTTTGACAATTTCGGCATTGTTCAAAGATATAAGGGATCCGTTTTTATTTTAAGCTATGTGTGTTCTTATTTCTATATTATGTGACAGTATCAATTTACACATTTTACTATGAGAAAAAATACATAAAAATTTAAACAGATGTCCTTAAAATATTATGCAGTATAAAAGTAATGGATGCAATACTGAGACTATTACGTAGAGCAACAATAAAGGCAAAGTATAGACGATTTTAAATTAGTTAATTGGTTATGATATATTGACTTATTTGATTTCTTGCACTTAGCAACGGCAAAGAAACAAGAACCTCAAATATCGACAAAATGACCAAGAACAAATTATATACAAATCAAAAATCATTTCATTGAAAACACACTCTCATGGTTTCTTCACTACCACCCAGCTTATTCGCACTACAAATATTTGAAATCTTATGGGTGTTGTTATGTGATAACGATTTCTATTCACATATATTTGCATATTGTTATCGATATTTCATGTCGGAAAGGCCATCATCTAATACATTTAAAACGGCCAAAGTATACACGTGTGAGGTTGATAGATCAAGAATCTTCAAAACTTTAGAAAATTAAGATTTATTGAACAAAACCTCGTTTACGAAGATGCAACGTAATCGATTAGCTGAGGACCTGTAACAAGAAAGAATATTATTATTATTATTATTATTATTATTATTATTATTAAAGAATATTAGTATTATTTACTATGCTAAACTACTCGCTTATATACTTTTCCGCGCTTACAGTCTTAGCACCTTACTTACTACACACTTCAGTATTAGCATCTCAAATACAGGGTAGTTTACACCTTTCATGTGAAGCTCTAGTGTGAGCACTGTAGCGCTCCTCTTTAAAAGGATTGCAGTTACTAAGCTAGCTATATTTAATAATTAAGCCTCTAACGAGAATATCTATCACATGTTGAACACAATAACTATGGTAGACATTACTAAATATATCATCAACTTAGAATACAATATTACACTATCTTACAACACGATATCAATCAGTATAGGATATTTGATCAAAATCTAACAAACGGAAATAAAGCAATTTTGCAAACTAGTTCTCACATAATTTTTACATATAGTATAAAGATACGTCATAAAATGAAATATAAAGAACGAAGAATAGAATCCAAATTGTACGTAATTTATAAAATATTTGATTAAATACTACTATCCAAGATTGAACCTTAAGTAGCAATATTTAATTTTGAAATTTCGCTACTACTTAAAATTTATTTGTACAATGTAATACTGTAATACTGTAGAATACTATGTTACCATTTGTCTCTGTGCTATATCTTGTAAACACTCTCATTCTAGTTTTACTGAAAAGTTAAATTTAAAAGTTCGCGCTAAACTAGCAATAAGGTTGCCAAACTCTTAACGGAATACTAGTAGAAAACTAAGTGTATATACCATAACATATAGTAACGACATTATCATTTCTTTGGTGTACACTTTCTAAACTATTTTAACTCAGATACTCAATACCTTTGCAAATATAACTATCTCATCTTTATCTAATCGTAAATGGCGTAATTACCTAATTTATCAATACTACTGTATATTAATTAATATTTATTGCAACTACAAGATAGAAATGTTAAAGGACGTAACTATCTCATTTTTCAAGCTACTCGTGTACAGTATTATACCTTTATCAGAATTATCTACAGTATATCATATCAATCTAAAATAATTCTAGTAAGGCTGGGATCACCTTCATGGCTAATGCATCGGTATCTCATTAAACGAATCAAGACTTTGTAAATTTTGAGTTCTATTTTGTACTGTAAGATCACTTGTTAACTGCTGATGATAGCAATTACTGTATTAATTCTATAATTGATTAGCTGAAATCTTTTTCCATTTAGGATGTTTCATATAACATATTTAACAGTATATTATAGCATAGCAAGTCACTTTACTCAATGCCCCTATAACGTTAGCAAGATTAAATGACTTAAATAGCTATTAAGGTTAGTATAAGAGATCCTATAATGGTAGAGATATCTTCTCTGTCTTGATGATAATAATAACGTTATCGAGTAAAAGTACATAAATAAGATAATCAGTTTTTATCTATACTGCATATGGAAAAGTAGATGGTTGTTAGTAATATGCAGCATGTTGGAGTCAGAAGCCGCTACTGTACTAGTTAAGAAGTTATAGTTGCTTGTAAGATAGTAGAGGATGTTTCCTTCGGTTGTATATAAAGCAAGCTCTTTCTGTTATTATTAGTTCTTTTCCTCCATTAACATTAGACTCCTAGTAAATTATAATGAAAGCTATTACTATCCGCTGACGTTTACTTTAGATTTGAATTTTAATACATTTGGTCCCAATAATACTGTATAAGAGTATGCGTTTCGTGGTATATTCATGCAATGTAAAACTTGGATTTCAGATTTAATCTAAGATATAGTAAAGCATGGTTGATGCTTTACAGTAATATTCTATTCCAATAACTTAACAAGGACTACAAATAGTAACGGAAATCTGGTATTAGAAGAGTAATATAATTCACTCATATTCTTTATGGCGTATTAGAGTATTTAAATATGTGATTAATTTCATTCAGAAGTCTTGTTTCTACCTATTTCCAAAGATTATCTATCTAATGGCTATGAGACTGCAATTTTATAGTAATACTAAACCAGCTTGATTAGTTAATATTAGTAATGTCACATCTAATTAGTATATTTAGGAAATTTCTGTTTAAACAACTAATTGGAGAGCTCTAGCAGAGTATGTATTAGATAGGGTAAGACAGAGTTAATACCGAATGAATCATCAGACCACCGTGTCAAATTTGTCTAGCACCAGAAGAACAGAAAATGTGATGATGTTTCACACATGATCACTAAGTATTGTTGTACTATTGATAATAATATACTTTCTCGTTAAAAAAATTAGTAAGAATAGTAATTTCTAACATTATTATAGAGATTATACTAATTTTATTTTCTAAATGGGTAGCTTTGGCTATTTTTACAGCTTACAAGTATATTATCGTTTTCGTTTGATTCAATACAACACTAATAATGATGAAAGCTGATATGCTCCTTTACGATGAAAATGTTTACAGTATTAAGTTGCCAAACCGATGGCAGACTTATTTTACTATATTTTATTATAGTTTTCACTATATTTTATTTCTGTATTTATTCTACTATGCGCTATAAAACCTCCTGATTCTTCAGTTTATAAAAGTAGCTCAAGGTCTTACTAGGATATTTACCTGATAGCTTATATTTATCTGAAAGTATTATAACTAGCATGCCTACCGTTATAACGTAAAAATGATATTTCGAAATTTGATAGACGATGTTATTTTTCAAATATAACAATTTTATAAAATGCTATCATAGGCTAAATATAATCACTATCGGCTGCCATTTAAATAAATCGAAATTTCAATAAAAGGAAATAGAGACTGTTAAACCACATCATGAAAATGAATTATCGGTATTTACTCAGTAATAAATCTTTAGGCAGGATAAATATCTAATTTCGATAAAGTCTGCGCCTATTTCAAGCAATATTTTCTATAAATAGAATATTATGTTATTGACTGGTGGAAACTTTACGATTATACACTCTACTTCGATATAATGGTAGTACGAATATGCTGTAATGGCACTAAAAATTGACACTATAGTAAACACAGGATTTTGGACGATATTGATTTTGAATTCGCATATCAACTGCTATTAATAACATATATAGCTATCTATTTCATTCGCTAACTGGTTTCATTGATAATCAGAAATCTAAATGAGACTGCATCACAAAGGCTATTAGTAAGCTTCGACTCTAGACTGATAGCCCGATGATTGATTACATAACTGAAAAAATAAATTATCAACCTTATTCAAAATTACTGCGAATAAATATACCAAATGGCAACTAATCGATCATGCTGTTATCTCTTATTTTTTTTAATTCGAGTATATAACAGTTATGGTACTGCGTTACCAGTTAGTAAAGTAGTCTAGATAAGGTCATGTGTTACGTTCAATTTTGCTAGGCTTGTAGTTAATTCTTTAGTGGTAGAATTGTGATATAAAACATAAACTGCTACGAGTTAATTTACTGTAGGTTGAAAAGCGTACTAGGCTCTAGTAATATAATCGAACCGTATATGAACTGAGGATGAGTATTTCAACACTCTAAGTTTTAGTTAACGCTAGAATTTACTGTAGAAATCTATTGAAGCGCGTATGGTTATAAAATAAAAGTAGAAATTACTTAAGAAGCGTTCAGGAGTCTTAATGTAAAGAAAAGTGTAGTAATTATTCAGTTGTCTGTGAAGTGCAGCCGAAAATCGAGTTCTCATATATCGCTCGCATAGAGACTGGAAAAACTGGGGAAGTAGCCCGAGTTATTGTACCTACGCTATAGTTATTTACAAAATCTTTGCTACAAGAGAGGGTTATGACAATGAGTCAATGACTCGATAATATTGTAGATAATGAAATATTTAAAATTATTTAAAATGACGCAATTGACCAAAATCTGACTTTAAGAAATCTCACTCTGTAAGTATGCGATCAGTCAAGGTCATTGACCTGATGTGACTGTAAAATATATAGTTGAGGCCAGAATAGTACTGTAATTAAAGAATAATAGTAAAATTCGTCAGCTAAAAATATTAATAAGTCTTATCTTTTTTATGAACTGTGTGCTATGTAATTGCTATAAGAATTTAACCAAATCTGAATAGTCTTACTAAGCATCTGTACTGGATAATTTGCGCTAGATCAGGATAGGACTTCAGATCTTCAGGTCTACAAGATTTCAATATATGTGCCAGTGTTTTAGACACATAGTTGCATACCTGGGGTAATTATTTATATTTAATGCACAGCTAGGTGTGCGAGTTGGACTAGTTGATTAATAAATTATGAGATTTATGCTCTCCGATACTGACAGTATTATAACAATCGATAATGACACACTAACGCTTATCTAATGATCTAGTACCAAACTAGTAAAACGTTGTCTCATGAGGTCATAAGGATAATTACGGTCGCATTCATAAACGTTTATCTACGGTAACAGTAATGCATATCATAGAGCAATTACATTCCAGATGATGACTTATAATTTGTATCGGTCCATCAATTTGAAAGATATCGCCGATTACCCATCTTAATACAAAAATCCTTGCTCTTTAATAATATAGTTTATTGGAAATGATCAGATTTTAATTTTACAGGATTGTTCTAATTATTTAATAACAAGCTAATATTTCTCTGAACGAAATCAACATACTAACATACACGAAATACCTGACTGAGCCTCCACATTTCTAGATGTTTACCTGGTATTAAATCAGGAGAATCTACTAATTGGGGAAGATCTAATTGACAATTTTGCTCATAAACTCTTTATCGCGTCCAATTCATACTATGGAGCGATGGAGTCAAAATTGTGATGTCGCGTCACTGTAGTAATTCAATATTATATTAAGTATTACATTATTAATGATCAAAAGACAAGCCAACTAAAACAAAAATGATCGAATTAAGTGTGGTACAATAATTTAATACCATAAAATTTGTTAGATATGATCCAATGAAAATAATTTACTTGTTCGATACAATATTCTACGATGATGGATTAGTGTAACTACAGTAGTATTTAGATCTAGCATGTCACCAGTATCATCTACTTACATCAACAATCACCACTGCGAAGTATTAATATATTAAAAATGAAAAATCTGGGGAAATAATTGATTTTAAATCGGATAATTTATACATAATGAGAGATTAAGAGATAATAAAGCGAAAAACTGCAATAGACGCAAAAACGAAAATTTAGTCCACTTTTAAGTACAATACATGATTTCGGCGCTATAAATACTCAGCTACTACGCATAATAACTAGGATCGACGACATAGTTGTATATAAGGGCGGATATAGAGGATATGATGTTTATACATTGTTATAAGGTAAGAAATTATTAAAAGTTATTCCTTAATCATTACATGTAGATTAAGAGCTTTCAACATAGAAGAATTAATGTGCAAATTAAATTCCTTTATAGTCGATGAAATCTAGTTGTTTAATATCCGTATACGTTATAAGGAATAATACTTTTCAATTATCAACTACTAAAATCGGATACTAACAGGGTGATAGGATGACATATCATTATTCGTAAATTTTACTCCGGATTTTTTCACCCTTATTTGAAACTGTAAGACACTAACAAAATCAAATTTACGTTGGATACATCTAATCGAAGAGTAGATGTGTAAAGATATATAATTTTAAATAGTTCATAATGACTATGAAGCTATATTAGTTACCAATAAAGTTAGCAATTTTAGTAATCATAACATGTAATTTTATATTTTGTCATTTGGTCTATATTTGTAATCAAAAGTTGTAGCTAACGAGTAATAATTAATAATTGATAGACGGAACGAAAAAATGCGGTTGTTATCATTATTGGTAGCGTAATAGCAACAGCATTTACAAATACCTTTGATGTAGAATCAACTGCCATAAACAATACATGAAATGTTCGAATTATAGTAATAAAAATTTTTAATCCATTTGTATTGTAAACGTAATATTGTTAGCTTGATATCTTAATATAGTTAATGAAGGATTAACATGCTATCCTAATAGTGTTACTGGTTAAAAGTTGATGAATATTTTAAAAATTTGTTATGCTAGCTGCTGCAAATTATATCTCTTTGAAATTATTTTAATTGATTCATGAAGAATTCTTACACAGGTAGCAATTATTTCGAAGAAAATTATTCGTATCTTTTACACCCAACGAACTTTACCATGTGAAGCATAACGAGAGTTCGTCACACTTCCTGAAGGAAGAGGCTGGATACGATCAGCTCTTCGATAACCAATACACTTTAAGAACCCTTTTCTTGTATCATAATGGAAGTAACCATACAAGACTGGATTAACCATTGGATAGCAGAAGGCAATATAGCGAAGTGTTACAAATGTCGTAAATAACTCTTTTCGTGGTTGTAAAAACATGGAGAAGAAAAAAGAGACGTACGGTAACCATGTAACAACAAATACTCCAACGATAATTGATAGATAACGTGCAGCTTTAATATTCATAACAATTGATTGTTTATTTTTACCAGCATCCTGATCTAAATCGAGCTTTAGTTGTTTATTAGCAACGATAAAGATATTACCATAAGCCAATACCATACATGCTATAGGGATGAAAAACAAGATTGAAAATACAGCAATTAAATAGTTCTTTTCAGAAGTCAAATCTTGCCTATTAAGAACATGACATGTCTTATAATTAAGTTGTCGAAATGTCATTTGGGGTAATAAAGCAACAATTAAAGGCAATATCCAAACAGTGACGATAGCGATCGATATACTTAATGTCGAAGCCCATCTTATATACTCAAATGGATAAATAATTGCAATATATTTATCTATACTAATCAGACATAAATGTAAATTGATTATAATTGTTAAAAAGATACCAATTTGGGGTGACAGCGAGCAAAATAACCAATCCGTACGTATAAAATTAATTAAGCTCCAGCGTGGTAAGAGATAGAAAGCACCCCACAGTATACCGACAGCCGACATACTTGCCATAAAGCTATTGGTTGCTTTTTTAAGATCATTGGTAAAGAAGATTAAGCCCAATAATATCGAATTAGTAATGATTGTCGGAATGGCAATCACCATCCATACTATTTGCTCCGAACCAAATAAAGGCGGAGTTGAAATTGTTGAATTATCAAATACAGTTGTTACCAGTGTGCTAGTAATTTTATCATAAGAAGAATTATCCATTTTTATTCAGAAGATGGAGAAAACTTTAAATATATGTCAATAAAAATTAGACAGGGGAGCTATAAATGCTATGATGAAGCTGCAATTTATCATACAGATGATAAAATTAGATGTAAAATATTGGATAATGCCAATAACAGTGGTTTCAATGGTTTTATCAGTTTTAGAATCTGGTCAAATTGAGAATTGTTGGATTGTATTGATGGTTGATTGATTAGTTGCCCTAGTAGAAAAAAATTTATATATATAGTTTAATTCAGTGTAAACAAAGCTCTTCACAATAACTTTGTATAATAATAGTTTTACTGTCTTCTATACTATCTATTACGTCACGATGTAGGACATGTAAGTGGATTCATTTCGCTTAAACTGATTTTTCTAAAAGGAAATGATATCGCTACCAGTTATTAATCATTAATTAGATCAATAAGTAACAATGGATAGGGAAACTTCTCATAATAAAATGGAATGATCACAATTTTTCATTTGTGGTATATGAACATGTAATTTCAATATCAACTATAGATAGTTTTTGTTTCACTTTTAGTATTTTAATTAATACTTTCGAGAACAAATCAAATCCTAACGGGTAAAACCTCGATAGTTGTTTGTTCTGAAGATGCATCGAGGGAATGCATACACAATCTCACAGTTAAAATTTAAGTTAACAATTTGATTAATTTTAATTATTTTTATTAATAATAATTTTATTTTCTGGCATGAAATAAAATTGTAATAATTGATGTACAGCCAACCGTGAACACATATTAACCGGATAATAATAGTAATTATACTTAATTCACACATAAGTCTTTTTAAATAGAAGATAAATATCGCCAGTGCTATATGTTATAAGAATGCCCCCTAGTTATATTTCACGTGAGTCAATTATAACTGTCCTTTTTCTCATTTTTCTCTCTGTTAAAACTAATAAAAGTTGGCGCAAATATTCATTTTACATTATGAATTGATGATAACTGCATTTAAAACGATAATAAAAATAAGAAAATATATTAGTATATGCTCATATATAGAACAGCGGTATTTTAATTAGACTATCTAGTAGGTTTAATAAATCTGAATTAAAGTAATCTACTGGTATTTTTTTCCCTATACTTATGATATGTTTCAGGAAAATTTAAAATATTGACTCTAAAATAAAGTACCTTATATGCAGGCATGATTTGTTAGTATAAAGGTACCGGTACCGTATAAAATGTTCTCTGTACATTTCCTGCATTTCCTGTTTCATGTTTACTTTACTATTTTTACAGCTAAAATAAAGTTATGAAGGTGCCCTTTCATATTTTTGAATAAATCAAAGCAGTTGTGAAGGATTAATTTTTTATATCCTTATCATGTAGTAAATTCAAATTTATGTTATTTTATCTAAGATCTTATTTAGTTATAATCATACTATACAGTATAACATATGATCTGTCATAATGTTATGATCGCCAAAATAAAATTGACAACTAGTAAGTTTTATATTTGCGACTTTTTAATTTACTTTATTAGGCAGGTATCGATTAAAATCCTTTTTATAATTTCAACGTTTTACAAATTAATAAGTATAATTTCTAGCAAAATTTTTAAAAAGTGTGTCTAGCTGTTAAATGATTTAAAAATAGCTACCGTTTATGAATCTGCCTACAGGTAAATCGATATAACCGTGTCAGGCTGTATTCGCACAATGAAAATAAAATTAAATGCTTAAATGGCTTGCATTGCTGATAAAATAAATATTATTGCTTATCGTTATCGACGTGAATAAAAATTCGTTATTCTCGACAGCATCTGGTTATTGATTGTATTAATTATAACAATAGATGAGAATTGGCTTCGCCGTAATTATTCTCCAATAACTATGGAACAGTAAGGAGATCGGTTTGCAAATATGCAACTCTACAATTACCTATTGAAATAAATGCAGAGTGACTATTGTTGATTATTAAATAATACATGTCATCTTAGTCTGCCACCTTCCTATAGAAAAGGCTTCATTAAACCTGATTAATGTTAATTATTGATCTAACTATAATAACAATATAGAATAAACTTTATCTTAATTACATTACCGCGTGATGAATGCCTATGAAATCACATCATAACTCGAGTAAAATCAGCTTGATGAGTATATCGATTACTAGCTTGAGAAAATAATAGTAGGATATAAAACTAGTTAGCTGTATCTACACGACTCAAGACAAAAACATTCCTTTTGTTACTACGATGAAGCAAAAATAATCTGCTCGAGTAAGTTTCAATTTTATGAAGGTATGGTTTTAATGGTAATAAAAAAATATGATCTTATCACGAATCTTCATAATTTAAAAGCACAATTTTTCTTGAATGGATGACTTAGGCTCATGAAATCATAACAGCTACACGTAATTATTGTTTCTTAAATATTTCTTCAATCTTATTTTCCACTAACAATGATTTCAAACGGAATAACCACATCTTTATACCGATGAATATCGTCTTAAAAGCAACTATGCATTGATGCCTTTTATTTTTGTTGATGAACGGATACTAATATCTAATTCTTAAAATATTATCATAACAGTATCTATGGAAACAAAATATACAAGGCGTTATATTCTTTGGGATACTGCTTAATGAAAGGAAAACTATTATAAAATAAATAGCTAAAAGGAATTACTAAGAAATTTTTACAGGATAACTAATTTCGTATTTTAAAATCATAATCTTAGCAGAAATAACAAAACCTACATTCATCTTTTAGATATATCTGTGTAACATTTTAAGTGGCCGATAACAATTTCAATTTACTATGAACAAATAGATTTGAATCTCACGATCTATAGCAATAGCAAGACAGTTTTTACTTACGTACTATTTGATATTGCAATTAATATAGTAGAAATGACGAGTTTAATTACACTAACATGTTAGTCTACTATTTTCAAGTAATAGTACATGTGTAATAATCTCTTATAATATTTAAGTTTTAAAGAAAATGTTGACTATATACAGTACTGCGTATCGATAATAAGACTAGAAAATAATAAAAATAGGAGTGGTGCCCCAAGTAAATTTTTCACTTTGGAATTATATCACCAATTACATTGGTGATTGAGTAATAAAACCAAAATCTGCCATAACATTCTATAGGTTTGTTAAACTAAATTCAGGGAAAAAGAAAGTAATGATAATAAAATTTATAATTTATAAAATTGTTCCAACATTCTACTAAATCAGTGACCTATATTATACTAACTTTCATTAACTTTCTTAAACCACAATTTTAACTCTCGATAGCTCTAGTCTTAACTCTTAATTTCAATTATTTACAACATCTAAATGTACATGTTAACATAATTCTATTCCCATGAAATAGTGTGCTAATTATTGATGGAAATAGATATCTGACTATCGGAAGCAGTAAGAAAATGGTAGCTCTTTGTAGTAAAAAATGGATTAGCCACAAAGAGTGAACTGCTTCCTTGTTCTGCTAATTCAATCGCTTATTGTAAAGCAATTTTTTAATCTTGACTAACATTTTAGAATTTTTAGCTGTGATAATGAGTTGGGTTAAGGTATCCCTGCCGAAATCGACAGCTAGAGTGATCGGTCAATTGACAAAATTATTCAGATTTTTGCTTACAATGGCAATTGCTGATTTATCACGTACAGACATCATGGAATACAATGGATAATATATTACCCGCAAATCACAAAAATTAAAAGATACAAATGGCTTTTTATTCTGTAAAATTGATAGGATTACCCCTCAGTTTCTAAAGAAGATTAAACATTAACGTACAATAAATACTTCATAAAATGGAGCGATTGGATGACAGTTGCATTTCAACTAGTCAATCAAGAACAAAGTGGATCATCCTTTGCAACTAATCAAAGTCTATACATTTGTCATTTTAAAATGTTACCATAGTTAATCTACTCCAAAATAGGCTCCAACAGCATTAATCTATGCGTAGAATAACCTAATTAGTGTATTACCGTAATTATGACGTTAGCAAAATAAATCTGAACTTTTCTAAGGCCTACAAACCTTCTGTAAACTAACGTTTCACAAATGACCAAATTTGAATTAAAATTGATATGGCTCAAAACAGGGTTTTTACACGGTAATAACTTTAACTTCCCCAAATTTTCTAATTATTGCATCAATTGTCTATTACATTCATCAGATCTTAATTTAAATATTAAATACACAATTCACAATTATTAAAAAACTTTATTTGCTTTCACTAGATGAAACGTAAAAATAACTTAGTGACAGTTTCTTGAGCATGTCGAGATACCCTATAAGTCTTAGTTGGTGCATATTAGTGAACTACTGTATGTAGTTGTTATTTGCGTGAGTACAGAAAAGAAGTTTAAAGTTTTAGCGTACATTAAGTAAAATCTTTAGAAAGTTATTTTTTTATTTGTGACATACTGAGATATTGTACTCTGAAAGCATTATTACAATAAGGCTTATATTAATAACTGACGAAATTATAGCTCCTAAATTTTATTACTTGGAGCAATGAACGATATCGAAGCTATTTCAATCACTTTTCTTAAATTCTAAAATAGACCAACAGGATATAAGTAATACAGGTTATTTATCATTACCGAGCTGATAATACTAACTTGACCATGTGATAAAGGCATTTTTTAATTCAATTTACATTTTATAATGCTCGCATATAAATATCAAATCTTGCTTTGAAATTTTTTAGCTAATATAGTTTATAAACATCGCAGTAGCGGAAAACAGCTACATAATTTAGTGAAGGTCTTTTACAGATTAGGTTTGATGATATAAAAATGTGAGTTAAAGCGTACAAGATTTAACTTTTTTAATCATATAGTGCTAAAAAAATGATCCGGTAAAAAATTAAATCACGGGAGTGAAGTATGAAAGTGGTATTTTAAATTTACCAGATTGGATAAGTGACATCATAGGTGATTCTGAATTAAGATCGTATCTGAGTAACATTGTTATATCAGAGCATGAATGAAGA